GCGAGGTACTGCAACACAGGGAGAATCTCGCTGCGGAGTACCAGTGTCTTCCCTTCGATGGAGAGGTCTCTGAGGCTCCAAAGTCCAAATTTCGCCGCATTTTAGCCAGTCTCTCCTCCCAAGACTTCAGGGCTGCGCCCTCGGCACCAAACCAAACTCCCAAAATTTTCATGAAGTCTGTCTTGATGCCAAAGGGCATGGATGCAGAAGAAGGCAGGAACCACTTTCCGAAGAGCATGACTTCCGACTTCCCGCAGTTGACCTTTGCCCCCAAAGCTTGGCCGAAGTCCTCGCAGGTCTGGACGAGCAGGTCGATGGAGCGCTGGTTGGCACAGAACACCGTCACGTCGTCCATGTAGAGCGAGCACTTCACTTCCCGTCTGTCTGGTCCCGGTGCGGTGATTCCCCCGATCTCTGGATTCCGTCTGATGCATTCGGCGAAGAGCTCTATACAGCAAACAAAAAGCAGAGGTGAAAGAGGGCAGCCTTGTCTGACCCCGGAGAGGACCGGGAAGGGGTCAGTTTTCCAGCCGTTCACCTGCACGGAACTGCAAATCTCATTGTACATAATATCCACATACGAACAAAACATTTCCCCCAGACCAAACCTGCGCAGGGCTCTGCACATAAACCCATGGGAGACATGGTCAAAGGCCTTTTCCTGGTCAAGACTGACCAGGGCCGCGTGCACACGGCGGTCCTTGATGTATTGGATCCGTGTCCCGGACAAGCGCTAGGCTGTCCGCAATCCTGCGGCCAGGAATGCCACAAGTCTGATCCGGGTGGATGATCTGTCCGATGACAGCCTTCAGCCTGTTTGCCATGACTTTGGCGAGGATCTTGTAGTCCACGTTCAGGAGAGAGATGGGACGCCAATTTTTCAAGTCACATCTCTCCCCCTTACGCTTGTACAGGATCGTGATCATCCCCTCCCTCAACGAAGGAGGCATCCTGCCCTCCACCACCATCTCCTCGTACAGCTCGAGCAGGTCCGGGCCCACGAGGTCCCACAGCGCTACATAGAGCTCTGCTGGGAGACCGTCGCAGCCCGGGGTCCTGCCCCGCCTAAAGGATTTAGCGGCAGAGTGCAGCTCCTCCAACGTCAAGGGGGCGTTGGTGGCCGACAAACCTGCAGGATCAATAGCGTTAGAGATACCTGACAAGAACCTGTCGGCCGCTTCCGTGTTTGTTTCTTTGGGGGAGTAGAGGTCGGAGTAGTAGTCGCTGACCACTTCCATCACGGCCTCCTTCCCCTTCTGGAGTGTTCCAGTCTTGTCGCGCAGCTCCGACAGGGGAGTGTGTCCTGAGAGTGGAGTTTCCTGAAAAAGAAAGAGTTACACTTCTCACCTTTCTCTAGATGCTCCACCTTGGCATGGAAGACAATGTGCCTGGATTCTTCCTCAAAGTGCTTCTTCAAGCTCTTCTTGGTGTCCTCCAGGTCTTGCCTCACGTCCCAGCCACAGTGATGAAGGTCCTGCAGGGACTGCAGCTGACGCTGCAGCCTCCTGAGTTCCCTCCTCCTGGCACACACTTGCTGGCGTCCCCTGGCCTGAAAGAAGCTGCGCAGCTTGACTTTCACGAACTCCCACCAGTCGCTTACCTTGGGAAAGAAAGACTTCTCCTCTCGCCAGGCACCGTAGATTTCCCTGAGCTCCGCTAGCAGTTCCTCATCGTCCAGCAGGGTACAATTCAGCTTCCAGGAGCCTGGGCCCGGGGCAAAGCCCTCTCCCAGGTCACCTCGAAAGTGAATGGCCCTGTGGTCAGAGAAAAAACAGGGAACCATGGAGAACCCGCGGTGCCTGACTGCCCTAGAGGTGAGCACAAAGTCAATCCTGGAACGCACAGATCCGTCGGGGCGGCTCCATGAGTAGTTCACGGAACCGCGCCCCACGGATCCCATGGCGTCCTGCAGGGCAGCCTCCGCAATCACCTCCCGGAGCAGCTTCGAGGTGGCGTCAAGTTTTGCGTACATGCTGGAGCTGCGCCCATCCTCCTCTATCGGACAGTTAAAATCACCGCCGATTACTACTGTTCTCGTTGTGACGAGTTGCGTCCGCAGGGTTTGGAAAAGCTCCAGCCGCGCGTTGTTCTCCGGGGAGGCGTACACGTTGATGAGCCTAACGGGCTCCCCCGCCCACGAGCCGTCTATGACCAAAAGGCGGCCACAGACGAGCTCGTGGACAGAGTCAACAGTGAAACGTCCACCCCTGATAAGAACCGCTACCCCTGCGGACTTGCAATCTTTCTTGAGTCTTTGCCCTGTCTGAACTGCCTGTAATCTTTGCCCCTATACTGCTGAAATTTTGAAGTAAATACCCTGGTACGTCTAGGTCTTCTGTCTTGGGGCAACAGGCCTGATTTTCCTCCTGTAACACGGGAAATGGTCTTTTCCAGCCTCTCTCCAAACAGTGATTTACCATCAGTAGGGATTTTACACCAATTTTGTTTTGATGCCATGTCAGCCGCCCACAGCTTCAACCATAAGGCCCACCTTGCCATTACGGCACGCAGCATTGATCTTCCAGAAGATCTTATTTTTTCGATAGCTGCTTCACCAATGAAGTCAGCAGAGAGCTTGAGCTCATCCACAGTTGGCAGATACAGTACTTCAGGATGAGCGACAACTGCTGTCCTAAAAGACCCCCAGAAGGGACTCACTACCTTATTGGCACCTTTAGCTGCCCAAGAGTAGGGACTGTGACTGGGAGAGGCTGAACCGAGATGGAAGCTGCTCGAGGCAGAGGTAAGGATGACCGACTTTAAGACTGGGCTCAGTATTTGGGTTGCTGAGGGGAGCTGCCTGCAGAAGGATTTTTACCTTAATGCATAGAATGCATTTATGTGGAAAACCCTCTGCCTTTAGAACCACTTTAAAATGGCCAAGGTGCAGAGTCTACACATCAGATCTTCACCAGAATACCCTGAAATGAGTTATGGGCTTTACTGGTAGGTATACCAGGTGGCAGCCCTCAGACACACCTGAGCAGGTGGTAGCTGACCAGGAATAGAGTCAGAGCATGGTATAATGTTGATAGTCAATATCAGAAACAGGGACAAACAAAGGGTCTGGACAGGCAGAGAAAAACCATATTCAGATGCAAGCTGAAGTTTGTAAACAGAGAAATGAGATTGCAGACAATACCATGAACTGAAGCATGTAGCAAGGAAAAGAACATAAGGCTCAGGCGCCAGGTGTTGATATCAGCAAAACTTAAAAGTTAGCTTGATTGATAGGCTTAGCAGGGGCTCGCTCTGTAGATGAAGATCATGTGCTATGTAAACCAGCAGGTGAGTTTTGCTGATGTTTATCTGTGGCAGATTAGGTCTGATTAAAAGGAATGAGAAGTCATCAGTATTTTAAACAAGAAAGAAAGGGCAGAAATGTGAGCTTTGTTAGACCTGAGAGGCAAACACTGGTGGACTCTTACGCAATGTCCCACTATTACTATTTTTTTATATTTTGAGGGATTTTTTTTTACATTATTGACAGATTCACATTTTTTTTATTATCTTAACTAATTATCTTTATTTTTTTCCTCATTTGACCGTCTTGGCTCTGTATAAGCAGGAGTGCAAGGCTTTAAAACTGAAACACTTATGAGTGACGTTATCTCCTGAATTAAAGGCAGGACAGCTACCATAGATGTGTATAAAATGATCTTACGATGGCTCTGCAACAATAACAAATATAACCCATTGAAATATGATTACTTGCAATACATTTAAATGGATATTAAACATGGAATTTTATATTGTATGTTGTTAGTTTAAAATGGATTTGTATGGAAAAAATTAATAAAAATAAAAAAAAATGGATATTAGATGGCGTTGGTCTGCCATTCAGGGTCACTCACATAGACAGAACAGCCTTCTGGAACTTGTATGCTGTATAGCAGGACTCAACTGGTGAGCAGGGCAGTCAGGGACTACAATTCCCAAGAGAGGTAGCACATGAGCAGGGACATACAGTATAAAAATATCAAATCCCAGGAGATTGGCCAGGAGAATGCGGGGAGAGAATGAAAGGTGTGCTGTCGGCTGAAGTGCTGAACTAGGCTGTGGAGCCGGAGTTGGAGAAAGAGGAAGAGCAAAAAGAGCCTACTGACCACCTGGTCTGCCACGCTACCAAGTAGGTGAACCTGGCAGTAGGAGACCAGATGCGATGCTGAGTCTGAGCCGAGAGAGTATGTGGATTGACACCATTTGCAAAGAGAGACAGACCGCTATGATCTGCCAGACTATTTCAACGGGTGAGAGAGACCCATGCACCCACTAACCACGTGAATACTGACAGTTTGTCACCTCAGCTACTTACCTACATATAGTAGTGAACATTACATATAGTTTCACGGTTTGCGGCCTAGTTCTCGCAGCTGCCATCGTTGAGATACATCTACATTGCAATTTCTTGTACAAGCTGACCACAGGACATACAGTTGCAGGCCAAGATACAGCAGTGCCAACTGAAACAACTCTCTCCTCAAAAAAGCAGGATTCCCATTACTGTTACCTTTTGCCATTGATGTACATAGGGAGCTGTCTTTGCCTATAGACATTTATGCCAATTGTTACTATTCATTACTTCAAGCCTGCCCCATATTTAGTGCTTTAAAAAGGAACCTGCCTTAATTCGCTACCAGCAAGCGTAAAAGTGTTACTTCTCCCGTTGTTCCTTCACTAGCTCTGTGTCACCATCCCAAAGAACTATATTACACACCTGAACTCAACTTCATACAAACTGGGCCCCAACAAGCATGAAGAAGGCGCTGTAATGTATTTAAAGGGACAGTGCTCAATTTCCAATGATAATTCACTTTCCTTCACATCTAATCCTTGTCATCTAGTTCTGAGGACCCACAGTGTGCTTACTTGTTTATTGATAGTTGTTTTTTGCTCACTGGGGATTCAGCAGTCCCTTCAGATTGGCGGGATTATTTCTGAAAGCAGGCCTGCTAACAATTATATTTGATTTCTGGTAAATGTTGTTACTTTGGCTCACAATTACCAACAGTCAGGGGCGGACTGACCATTTGGAAACTCGGGCACTGCCCGAGGGCCCGGGGTCAGTAGGGGGCCCCATGAGATGCCCCTGGTACCTTTTTCATAGGCTTTTTTGAGTTTGGGCAAGGACACAGGGGCCCCATGATCCCCTATTGCCCGGGGGCCCATGAGCTGTCAGTCCGCCCCTGCCAACAGTGATTATAAATGCTACACATATCAATGTAATTTTGTTCTTTTTGACCAAGTTACCTGTAATTCCAATATAAACTTCCTATTGGTTTATCCTAACTTGTGTGTGAGTCCATTTTGCAGTTGGGATTTACTTTGGTCATAAGAGCACGGTGGTGTCAACAGAGGTTGTGCTTTCAACAAAAGGTTCAGATTGACAGGGAACCCAAAACAATTACTAAGCAACTCCTAAAGGGGTAGTGGTAGACAAAGATATTCCACTCAAGCCAAATGCAACTTCTGATCTAACGAGGATTGATATAGATACCAAAGCAAAAGGTTTTCCTTCCAGCTTACTTGGTTGTGGTGATTAGATGGAGGCAAACCAGATCAAAGCTCCTTAACATTTTCTGATTTTCAAAGTAAACATTTCCCCCTTGCCTGACAAAGGTAAAAAGTTTGATGAGAATGTACCAGCTGACTTTGTAAAAGCAGTTCACCTCAAGAGCATTTTTTTTTTCATTTCTTATACACATATTGCAATCTACATTTCTTTTCTAAAAAAAAAAAATACTTAAAATATTTTGCACGATTGTAAAAAAAAAATGTTAATTAATAAATATACAGCTAGGTCCATATATAATTGGACACAGGCACAATTTTCATACTTTTGACACAGTCCCAACATGTGTATGCCACCAGAATAAATTAAAATGAAAGAATCCAAATTAATCTGAAGTGCAGACGTTCAGCTGTAATTTAAGGGATTGAACATAAATATCAAGTACAAATTTTTTCCTTTCTTTTCTTTTCCTTCAAACACTCCTGGGTTGCTTTTGCAGTGTGTTTTGGATCATTGTCCATCTGTAATGTGAAGCACCGTCCAATCAACTCTGCTGCTTTTAGCTGAATCTGGGCTGACAGGATTCATTTGGCTGCTTCTGTCTTCTGTCACATCATCAATAAATAAATACCAATGACCCAGTGCCACTGGAAGCCATGCATGCCCATGCCATCACATTGCCTTCACCATGTTTTACAGATGGCGTTGTGTGCTTTGGATCATGAGCTGTTCCAAACCTTCTCCACACTTTTTTCTTCCCGTCATTCTGGTTAATCTTAGTTTCATCCGTCCAAAGAATGCTTTCCCAGAACTGGTCTGGCTTTTTTAGATGTTTTTGGCAAAGTCTAATCTGACTTTTCTGATCCTAAGGCCTATGAATGGTTTATGTCTTGTAATGAACCCTCTGTATTTACTCTCGTGAAGTCTTCTCTTGATTGTAGACTTTGACAATGATACGGCCACCTCCTGGAGAGTTTCCTTCACTTGTCTGGATGTTGTGTTGTAAATGGGTTTTTCTTTACCATAGAGAGGATCCTGCGATCATCCACCACTGTTGTCTTCCGTGGACGTCCCTGGGTTTTTATGTTGCTGAGCTCACCAGTGCGTTCTTCTTTCCTCAGAATGTACCAAACTGTTGCTCTGTTTACGCCTAATGTTGCTGCTATCTCTCTGATGGATTTGTTTCATTTTTGAAGCCTTACAATGGCCTGTTTCACTTGCATGGACAGCTCCTTTGAACGCATGATGTAGGTTCACAGCAATAGATTCCAAATGCAAATACCACACCTAGAATCAACTCCAGACCTTTTACCTGCTTATATATTTAAAAAATGAACTGTGCTAAGGTCACAAATTGACAAAATAAACTGTACAATCTTTAAAATGATAGCAATGAGCAAAATACAAATAGAATATTAATATTCAGTCCCAACATGTGAATAATTGGTGCAACAGTGCTGTATCTTTAACGGTGATACTCCATACTGAAATGACAAGTACTTCACTGTGTTCACACTGGTGCCCCACATAGATGTAAACTCACCGTTATTTCATGACCACCTATCTCTAGGTAAGTCACACTCACTTTTTGGTACTATCCCAGTTTGCAATCCGGTCCTGATGGCCGATATTCCTTATATAACCATGGTTGCTGGTAGTAACCAATAACTTTCCACTAGATTTGCATCAATGTTAGGCAACTCCTCTCCTCCACAGGCAGTATTTCATATTTTCAGCATAAATCAAAACAAAACCAGACATCCCATAGTGTAAAACTGTATAAAACCTTAATATGGGGTCAAACAATAGAAATGCCACTCACAAAAAAGTGCCTTTCCTGGCACTGGGTGTATTCAGCTTTGTGTATTATGAATGGGAATTAAGATGTCCGCCACATTCCAGCATGCATTCCAAATAGTCAGTGACGTCAGTGGACATTGCATCATAAGCCATCGACTAGTTTCGACCAATAGATCGTCTTCAAGTACAAAATCCGCCATATTGGTGGGAAAAAAGGACGTACATTTCATTTGGGTGCAGTGTTGCATGACTGTGCAATTGTCAGTTAAAGTAACACAGAAAATGGCCTGGTTAGGAAGGGGGGTAAATCCTCTGGAGGGCAAGTGGTTAAAATTTAGGATGTAAACAACATGTTCTGCATAACAAAGTGGTAAACAATCCAATGCTTGTAGCAGAATCACCTTTTGTTATGTAAAAAAAACTATTCATGCAGCTCATTGTGTAAGGCCTAAATGTGTTTAAGTAACTATTGAATAACTTACTGTTTTGTGAATGGTTTATAAATAGTTATGTAATTCTGAGTCTTTCTCTGTTATATTTATTTTAGTCTATTAATAATGGAATGATTTAAAAAAGAATGAAGGTACAAAAGAGGATATAGAAGTGTAAAATTGGCCAGCACCAGGACAATTGTATTTAGGGATATTAGGCCTAGCCAGTGGTTGCTTAACTTGTATTTTATCTATTTATTAGTTGGGTGTGAATGACTGTTGTGGAGTTTTTTAGTGTTGTAGTTGCACACTGTTTTTGGACTTATCTTTTTTTACCAATACACAAAAAAAACTCTTGAACAGATTGTTAGCCTGATGTGTTTTAATTTCCCCAAGCTTAAAGTGCTATTAAACCCCAAACCAAAAATGTAATATACTTTAGATGTGGCTGCTGCATCAGTTTTCATTTCTTTGGCTTTTTTTCCCTCTGTTTTCACCTGGTGATCTGGCCAGTAACACACCCCCTGGTATTAGACACAGCATTGTTAGTGGGGTGGGGAATGATAGAATTAAAAATAATAGCAGATTTAGAACAACTAACAAATTGAAGCCAAACTCTAGCTCACTGTCACCGCTGCTGTGTTGAGGAGTCAGACTTTTTTAACTGCCTCTAAACTCCCTGCATTTTATCCATGTGTTCATGCACACATAGGCTTTTAGCAGGGTTTTCTGCCAGGAGAATTTAGTGGCAGATAAAAAAAAACCCTCTGCCAGTGCATTCTGGAGCAGCAGCGTTTTGGCAGAAAAAATGTTGTAAGCTCCTAAACTCTACTAAACTCTCCTAAACTCTGCTAAATGCCAGTGCCCAGTGTGTAGCAGAGTTCTTTTGTTTTTTATTTAAGCCAATGGACACAGTCCTCCACTCACTCTGATGGGAATATATTAGACCTTGTTTTCTACCATCTTTGCATACCCTACAACCTCACAAACACCCCTTTTCCTCTCTCTGATCACAATCTCATCACCTTCACAGCGTCCTCGTCTTCAAACACCTATCCCTCTAAGCAGCAAACAATTACCCATAGAAACCTTCACAACTTTAACCCTTCTCTTTTCTACTTTGCAACTGACCGCCTCTATGACAGAATCTCTCCCCTGTCCTGCCCTGACCTGGCCGCTGCTGTCTACAACAGTTCACTTTCATCCATATTAGACTCACTTGCTCCTCTAACCATACAAAGCATCAGGCCCCGACCATTACAACCGTGGCAGACTGACGACACCAGAAATCTTAAGCGACATAGTCATGCGCTGGAGCGAATGTGACATAAAACCAAATCACACCAAGCTTTGACCCTATATAAATCTGCTTTATTAACATACAATTCCTCCCTCCGTGCTGCCAAACAAGCCTACTTTGTCACTCTCATCAATAGCTTGTCATCCAGTCGTCTCTTCTCTACTTTTGACTCTCTACTTTCTCCACCTCCACCTCCACCTCCACCCACTACCTCACTCACTGCTTACGAGATTGCAAATCAAAACAAGATTGATGCAATTCGTAGGGGCATCTCCACTGCACAGACATTCATCCCACTTAGTATACCTTAAACTAAACCTCCCTCAACACTTTCCTCTTTTGACCTTGCTACTACTAAAGAGGTCACTAAGGTTTACTCAGAAGCCCATCTAACTACCTGCCCCCTGGACCCTGTCCCCTCACAACTACTATGGTCACCCTCTTCTTCTATCCTATGCTCCCTCACTCACATCTTCAATCTCTCCCTCTCTAACGGTGCATTCCCCACCCTTCTAAAGCATGCACACATTACTGCCATACTTAAAAAACCCTCCCTGGACCCCACCAACCTGAACAACTTAAGACACATCTCCCTGCTACCGTTTACTTCTAAACTCTTAGAACGCTTAGTTTTCAATCGCCTGAGTTCCTACCTCACTGACAACATCCTTCTTGACCCTTTACAGTCTAGCTTTCGCTCACTACACTCCACTGAACCTGCCCTACTAAAACTCACTAATGATCTACTAACTGCTAATAGCAATGGCCACTGCTCCGTACTCTTACTACTTGACCTCTCTGCTGCTTTCGATACTGTTGACCATCCCCTCCTCCTCAAAAAACTTTACTATCTTGGCCTCTGAGACTCTGCTCTATCCTGGTTCTCTTCCTACCTATCGCATCGCTCCTACAGCGTTACCTATAACTCTGAGCTCTGAGTATTCCCTCCAGCCCATGCCCCCCCTCCCCTGACTTCTCCATCAAGATCAATAATACAACCATCAGTCCCTCCCCTCATGCCAGGGTGCTAGGTGTAATTCTAAACTCCCATCTGTCTTTTCAGCCCCAAATCCAATCAATGTCCAAATCTTGTAGACTTCAGCCTCTCCATCTCCAAGATACGCCCGTTCTTAACCTCGGTAACTGCTAAGCAACTTATTCACTCCCATGTTATGTCTC